AACAGAATAAGGAGACCGGCATGGTTCAGTGGGCTTCCCAGCCCACAAAGCAGTACATGTGCCTACCAAGGAGTGAGAGCACTGAGTGCCTTCAGGCTGAGAATTGCTGGTGGAGTGGAGTGTCCCTAGGCACTTATTGGTAGTGCTAAAGAGCTTTGTGACACTTGCCAGAGCAGGACAGAAGCCAAGTAGAGGCACCCAGGGGCCAAGGGGCAGAGAAAGGCCTACCTACAGGCACAAATGTGAAGAGGCTGTCCTGATTAAAGACCTGTATCTTGAGTCATTCCTAATCCTGAATTGTAACCTGTTAGTACCCTAATAAACCTCATAGCTATGAGTGTGATTTGTGAGTTCTGTGTGGCCATTGCAATCAATGATAAAATCCAGCAGAGAAGTAGAGTGCTGTGGGAAGAATAACTGGTGTCAGAATCGGTTAAGGAAAAAAAAAGTTTGAGAGAAGGTATGTCTGACCTCTGCCTCACAGAAATCAGCCTTAGGCTGTTGGTCCTAGTTCTTCCCCATATGAAGCTAAGGCAAATCAGATGTCACCACCACCATGCCATTTTTTACAGAGTGGTCTTATTTCAAAACAGAAAAGGTAAAATGGGACCAAGTGGAGAAAGGCACTAATTTTCTACCTTTTTTTGATATAAGCATGGGAAATATTTTAATTAATGAAAGGCATGGTTAAGGAAACTTAAATGGTTTACAGTACTGATTGAGGGTTGGAGTGGAAAGAGACAGATCAGATAGGCTGATGCAGAACGAGTCAGAGTAATTCATGATCGGAGTCAGGACCCTGATAATGGAAATAGAAAATTTTACAATGAATCTTAAAAATAAAGACTTGAAGAGGATCAAAGAACTCTTAGAGATTTTATTCCAGGGCCTTCTCCTTTTTGAAATTTGCCTGTTACATATTTAAAAGCAGAATATATTTATTTTGATGCAAGACTCTTAATTTCACAATAGTTCCAAGCAGTAACTTAGTTGTGTCTTTCATATAACTTTACATCTGTAACCCTGATTCTTTATATACATGTGAAACAAAGGGGTTACTAATCGCATTTATTAAATAAACATTTAGTCACATTTTCTTTTGATTTCAATATGGTGCATTTCCTGGAATTAGGGACTAGGAGAATGAATAGGAATTCCCTGTGCTTCTTTCTGATTGTATTCAGAAACTCAGGTTAGCCAAGACCAGAAATAGGATTTCAACATAAGTATGGGAGCAGTTTCTTTCTTCTCATCACAAAGCAATCTACTTATTTTACAGTTTCTATCTTGTCCTCAGATGCCATTCCTAAAATGAATTGTGTCTGATGGGTTTCATTTCAGGGCTTAAAGACACATAGAAACACCTGGGTGTCTTGGAGAAGGACAGCATATTAGGATCATGGAAAAATGTCATTGGAATAGAGGGGCTTCAAATTCTAAAACAGAACAAAAGTAAACAGAAAAATACACAAATCTTTAAATCTACCATTTTCCCTAGATCAGACAAAGATTAGAAAGAAATGCTAAAAGCAAGCCAATACTAATGATTCCAGAATCATTTAAATCAGAGATTTAAACTTGGATTTACATTATATATTGTATTTATAATTTGCATTATAAATTAAAGGAGCTCTGGTGACATACTGGATAAGGCACTTGACTGATAACTGGAAGGTCAGTGGTTCAAACCCACCAGCTTCTCTGTGGAAGGAAGACTGGGTGATCTACTTCCATAAAGATTTACAGCCTCAGAAACCCAAAGGGGATCTCTATGAGTTGAAAATGACAATGACAGTGAGTTTGTTTTTTCTTTCTAGTTATTAAAAATTACATCACTTTATTGGGGATTCAAGACAAATCTAGGCCAAAAATTGAATTTAACAAATCAGAAAACATTTAAAGAGCTTATCATTCTATAAAATTCCACAGGAGAAGCTCAGAATTTGCATTTGCCCCTTGTCCTTTAGGATGATACATATACGAATAAAGAGGGAGTTTAGAACACTTTGTATGACTTGAAAATCTGCCATATGGAAGAAGAATTGGAGTTACAGTGCTAAACCATAGATTTACAAAGTAAATTGCATTTTAGTTTAAGAAAGAATGTCCTAAAAATTAGCAATGTTCAATCATGGGATAGACTGGCATTCATGTAGTGAATTCCATCATTCAATATTTATTCATTCAGTACTGAGCTCTGGTCCCATGTCAGACACTGTGTTGAGATAACGGGGTTCAGCAGTGAGCAGAACACTTCCCCTGTCCTCCGTGGTTCATATCCCTGGGATGTGCTCTAGGAGGTGATTAATTAAATCTGTGATGATCTGGAAGGAAATCATCAAAATTCCTTTTAATCTAAGGCATACTAAATACCAGTATAAGATTTAAATACCAGATCAAGACAACAGCAAGAAGTGAAGGACATTCAATAGCACAACAAAGAATTCAGGATTGGGGTGGGTTTGAGAGGGCTCTGTGAGGAGTTGGAGTTTATGTAGATGAACAGCAAGGGTATTTCAGAGAAAAATGCAACCTACAGACATGTAGATAGAGTAGTGCATGGAGTATTCAGGGGACAATAAATGATTTGGTATCACTGAAATATTTGGTTCACATAGGCAAGTTGTGGAAATGAATCCAGAGAACTATGTTTAGTTCAGGACGTAGAAGAACTTGAGCAAGGTTAAGATTTCAGTTGATCATGTCATTATCTTCATGATTTTTGCATTAATCACATACCATTCATAACTTAAGGACCTCTGGTGGCACAATGCCTAAGGCATTTGACTGCTAATCAGAAGGCTAGCGTTTCAAACCCACCAGCCATTCATCAGAAGGAAGATAAGGCAATCTACTTTTGTAAAGATCTGCTGCCTTGAAAACCCAATAACCCCAATGGGGGGTCACTATAATCAGAATTGACTTGATGGCATTGGTTTTATTTATAACTTACCTAGTATTCTTTTAGGATTAAATGACGTCTTTTTAATTGTCTCATCCTAAATAGTATGAACTATGGATTAGATGAAATAGTTATAAATATGTCTAACAAACACGATAACTTATCTTTAAGTATTAGAATAAAAAATGTTTATGCATATATCTTGCAAAATATACAGCTTGTTTATCACTTGTGGAGCATGTACCAAACATGGGGAATTTATGTTTTAAATAACAGAGAACTACTGACTGTTTTGGAGTCTAAGTGATATAATAAGAGTTGTACTTTAGGGAGAACTCATCTAGTAACTATGTGTAGAATGAGCAACTTTCACCATTGTGGGAGGGAGAGAAATATGCTAGAAAGCTGACATCCAGTTTAGCATACTAATTAGAACAGAAAGAGACATTAAAAAAAAAAAAAAAAACTTTATGATGGATTGGGTGTGGGAGCAGAGGGAGCATAAGACATCAGCAACTCAGTTTGGATGAATGACAAAATTAAGATGCTATCTGTCATGGAGTGAATTGTGTCTGCCAAAAATACGTGCCAACTTGACTGGGCCATGATTCTCATTGGCAGTTATATAATGATGTAATTTAGCAGTTATAATGTAATGATGTAATCATCCTCCATGATGTGATATGAGGTGGTGAGCCAACCAGTTTCAAGAGGATTAGGATGTGATGCAACACCCTTACTCAGATCTCAGCCCTGATCTGATCTAATGAGTGTTTTCCTGGGGTGTGGCCTGCATCACTTTTTATCTTACAAGAGATAAAAGAAGAGACAGATGAGCAGAGAGAAGGGACCTCTACTACCACAAAAGAAGAGCTGGAAGTGGAGTGTGTTCTCTGGACCTGGTGTCCCTGTGCTGAGAAACTCCTAGACCCGGGGGAAGATTGATGACAAGGACCTCACCCAGGGCCAACAAAGAGAGAAAGTCTTCCCATGTAGTTGGTGCCCTGAATTTGGAGTTCTAGCCTCCTAAAGTGTGAGAGAATAAATTTCTATTTTTAAAAACCATCCACTTGTGGTATTTCTGTTATTGAAATACTAGATAACTAAGACATCACCTATCTATACCCTGTATCTTAAACATGTTCAGGTCTTTTAATGGTATAGTGAAACAATCTCCTGAAAGAGAGCTTTTGATTAGGTAATGTAACATAAGTGGTTACAGAAGAATATTTCACTAAAAAAAAGTACAGATTCTATAACAATGATGAAATTTTATGACCCTGAAGTCTTGGCTTCTTGATTTTCTGCATATAAACTTCACAGCATTTGACAGTTCCCAGAAAGACCCAGAGACTCAGTGAGATCAACAGACATTCACCATCATTGACTATGTTATTATCTATGTACTATTAAGCACTCAGCTAAAATTCCAATATTTGAGAATATTAGGCAGTCTTTGCAAGAGAACCGGCAAACATGGTATCTACTGATATTCTCTAATATGAAAATTGAGTATCATTTGTCATGAACAAGAAAGTCCACTCTTTCATATGTACGTATCTGTTCTCTTGCTGTTTTGTGAGCTCTGTTACAACTTGAACTTTCCTTATAGTCTGTGTTCTGTCCTGCCACAGCTACATAGATAATAAGTTTTCAATAAATTATTGCTCATGAATAACAAATATTAATGTTGTTCATTGCTGTTCTGTAACAGGCCAATATTGCCCTTATTATTGGAAATACTGGTTTATGAGGAAAATATGTTTTATTAAAAGAAGAGTTAATTTAATTCTCAGTGTGTTTTGCATGGGGGTGGAGTCATCTGGTTGTCTTATTAATTCCACCTTGAAAGTTGACTTGACTTCTGAACAATGTCAACAACAGCATTGTACACTTAAGTCAACTCAATTACGTAGGTCTGGCTGTCAGATTTCTTGCACAACATTCTTTCTGAATGCTGTATTGTGTAACACGTTTGTGAGAAAACATAAATAGCTCATAGTTGGCAGTGCTTTAATATAAAAGTTTTTCCAGTGCTACAGAATATAAGAGTCTGAATTTGTTTTTTCAAAGCTAAGTTTTAGCTAGGAGCTCTGCTATGATCAAATCACGTTTTCAAAAATATGTGGCACTTTTTGCCCTCCTTGTCCTTGGTGTTGATGCTCTGGACACATTTATTGCTGCAGTGTATGAGCATGCTGTTATATTACCAAACAGAACAGAAACACCTGTATCAAAAGAAGATGCTTTGCTCCTAATGAACAGGAACATAGACGTTTTGGAGAAAGCCGTAAAACTGGCAGCTAAGCAGGTAATACCTTTTTTATACTGGCTGGGATATTGTAAAAAAAGACCTCTGGTGACGCAGGGGAAGCTCTGATGGCATAGTGCCTAAGGCATTTGACTGCTAACCAGAAGGCTGGTGATTCAAACCCACCAGCCACTCCTTGGAAAGAAGGTTAGACAATCTATTTTCGTGGAGATACCACCTCTGAAACCCAAGGAGGGGTCACTATGAGTTGGATCTGACTCAATGGCATTTAGTTTGGTTTGCTGACACAGTGGCTGCTAACCAGAAGGTCGGTGGTTCAAACCCACCAGCTGCTCTTGAGAGGAAGATGAGGCAATCTACTTCCATAAAGATTTACAGCCTTTGAAACCATTGGGGTTGCTATGAGTCAGAACTGACTTGATGGCAACGGGCTTTTTGGTTTGGGATACTGTAAGACGAACTTTGAGTATATTTGGAATTTATGAGAAACTCTTTTGCTCCCATTCATTTCGAACAGGGTGCACATATCATTGTGACTCCAGAAGATGGGATTTATGGCTGGGTTTTCACAAGAGAGACCATTTACCCCTACTTGGAGGATATCCCAGACCCCAAAGTGAACTGGATTCCATGTAGAGACCCCCATAGGTAATGTCTTTATACCTTGAGGTCTGAACAAAAAAGTTATGATATTATAAAATGCCTATAACAAATGCACAGACCCTGTAAGCAACCTGGCTAAGAAGTAATTAATTTAGTTTGTATTATTGGACATAAAGCATGCCTCCTATTTGATAAATGTCTTGAGATGGTGGTGCCTGGTTGGTTATTTTTTGTAGTTTTCTTTAAAGAGCTGTATCCATTTAAACAATTTTTATAATAAATTTATTTAATTGAGCTTCAATAGAGTGAGAAAGTTGTACAGGATGTTTCCCCAAATAGCAGCATGATTTTTCATCTATGAACACCTGCCTCCTTTGTATAAATGGTGAAAGATGAAAAGATGAATGAGGCTATGTTTCCAAAGGGCTCAGTATCTGCTATCATTTACAATGTAATCAGTATAGTGGGTAGACATTATATAGGACTTGAAAAAGGAAGAGTTATTTCTGAGACCACTTTCTACCACCTCCTAGCTGAGTGATATAGGATATGTAACCTAAATGTTTGATGTGTCTGTTTATCTGTAAAATAAGGATAATAAAATGTCTCCTTCTACTTCTATTATGGAATAATTAAGAGTGTCAAATTTCACATATATGGAACTGTCCATTGTGGAGCTCTCTCCAATGTTGGCTGCCACTATTACCTTTTTTTGATAGGATGAACTAAGTCTGACTTTCTTTGTTTTCTTGTGTGTTAAGAGATTTTAATAATTATCAATAGTGGTAATTTAGGCATACCTTTTTAAAAGAAAATCTGTATAGTGAAGAAAAAGATTTATGAAATTGCTTAAGTGTATGTGGTGGTTATGTTTGTGTGTCAAATTGGCTGGGCCTGGTTGAGTGGCTGGGCAGCTGGTGCTAGTTATTCCCCATGATGAGACTTGCAATCAGCTCCATGGTGGGATCTACCACAAGCAGCTGAGTAGCTGCCTTTGGGATGTGGTCTGCTTCCCGTATATAAGAAGCAGCTTTGGGAATGGTCTCTAGCTTATGGCATGCTTGGACCTGCATATAGCTGTGTCCTTGTTCAGCAGCCAGCCATGCTTTGCTGACCTTGGGACTTACAATGGACTTAATGGCCTGCCATGTGGTCTGGCAACATCAAGACTGTGCCATTTTATTTGTCAACCTTGGGCTTCTCAGCCTCAAGAGCCATCAGCTGTCTGAATGAAGAAACACCTCTAGCTTCAGTGGGCTGGGAGCAAGAGGCAGAGCTGAAGCCCAAGGCTGAGGGGATTTCACCCAGCCCCTAGAGCCTGGCACTTTGAATTTGGACTTAAAGCCTCCAAATTCTGAGAGAACAAATTCCTGTTTGTTAAGGCCATCCCATTTGTGGTATAATCTTGTCAGAGTGGCACTAGATAACCAGAACAGTGTAGTTGTTTACTTTTAAAAATAGTTCATATTTAATTTTTTAATGGAAAAATGAAGGCATTAAGAGTAATTTAATTTGATAATCTTAAATCTACATGCACCTATTCTGAACTACATCTATTGCATTAAATGGGAAGATTTCTTTAATAATTTTGACCATTTAAAATTGACTGGCAAGTCCAGTGTTACAACACAAGAGCTCTGCTGTGTGAGTCCAGCCTCACCCTGAGTTTCTACCTTTGGAAAAATATCCTCTGAATGTTGCAAGGTCTGTCTTTACAGGAACTGTGTAACTCTGACTCAACGTCTAATTGCTTATGAGGCTTTTCCCAGAACAGGAGGACTCACTATTTGCAGTATCCAAGAGGCTGATATTGAATATACATTCTATTTGCCTTGGCTAAAGAACGGACTCTCCTAGGGGAAGGATGTCCAAAAGCCTGATATGTAGACAATCTTACATAAATTAGTTGTTAGAAAGGTAGGTGACTGATTAAACTTTAACATTATTGAGTTTTGCAGACATTGATTTCAGCAAAGTTTCATCTCTGTTACAAAAAGGAGATTTTTACTAATTCAGTACTTAATATATTAGCAATATTGGTAAAGAAATTAACCATTTCTTCTCCGGAAATGTTGTCAGGTGCCACTGAGTTGGCTCCGACTCCTAGTGACCCCATGTGCAACAGAACAAAACATGGCCCAGCCCTGTGTCATCTCTACAGTTCTTGCTATGCTGTAGTCCATTGTTGCAGCTAATGTGTCAATCCATTTCATTGAGGGTCTTCCCCTTTGACATTGACCCTCTGCTTTACCATGCATGGAGTCATTCTCTAGGGAATGGTCCCTTCTTACAATAGGACCAAAGTAGGTGAGATAAAGTCTGGTCGTTCTCGCTTCCAAGGAGCATTCTGACTACACTTCTTCCAGGACAGATTTGTTAGTTCTTCTGGCAGTCCATGGTACTTTCAGTATTCTTTGCCAAAACCACATCAATTCTTCTTTGGTGTTCCTTATTCATTGTCCAGCTCTCACATGCATATGAGGCAATTGAAAATACCGTGGCTTGGGTCAGGTGCACCTTAGCCTTTAAAGTGACATCTTTGCTCTTAAAATCTTTAGGACTAATAGAAGGACACAGGGTTGTCCTTGTATATCTAAGTACTACCATTTAGAATACTGACATGTGCCACACTTTTTTGGATTTTCCTCATGAGGAGCTGATAGGAAAAATTAAAGTATTTGAATTCTTTTGGTCAAGTAAATAAAACAAAGTACATGATAGCATTTTTTAAAGTACTAATAAATATAAATATTGACAATATTGTCCTATTTTTCCTGAAGGCAAAAATAAATATCCTAAAACAATAGGTCATAAATCTGTCCTTTGTACTAAAATGTTAGTTCAATGTCAGTTGCAGAGAGCTGAGAGATTACAGAGAGCTCGAATGGCCTCGAAAATCAATAAAGTCATCAGTATCCTGGGTTATCTTCTTGTAATTACAAAATCCGTGAGAGACACTGTTTATTTACTTACTTATTTGGTTCTAGGAACGGTACTTGGTGTGCTATGTACATTATCTCATTCAATTCATGTAGTAAAACAAAAAAAAAAAATTAAGTCCTCAAGTATTAGTCAAAAGGTTGGCAATTTGAACCCACCCAGACATGCCTTGAAGAAAGCCCTGGCAATCTTTTTCCAAAAAGTCACAGCCTTGAAAGCTCTGAATCAGCCCTGCTCTGTACACACTGGTTCCCTATGAGCCAGAATCGACTAGATGGCAATTAACAACAACAGATTGCACACAAAATCGTGTGATTAAGGCGTGGTAACACCAAACACCTGGAGACACATATTAAGCATGAAATTTCCAGTGACTAGTGAACCTGTTTTTTTTACAGAGTGTTTTGCTTACTATCTTAAGTTGGGGTCTCTAGAGGAAACTGAAGCATATGTATATATATATATATATAGAGAGAGAGAGACAGAGACAGAGACAGAGACAGACAGAGACAGAGAGAGAGAGCGAGAGAGATTTATTTCAAGGAAATGTCTCATGCAGTTGTGGCAAGTACCAAGTCCATGATTAAGGCATTAGGCTGGAGGCTCCTCCTGACTCACATGGTAGCAGGGTCTGAAAAACTCAAAATCAGCAGGCTCAGACAGCAGGCCTCTGGCTCACAGGACTGTGGGGCTGGGGAATCCCAAAATCTTCAAGGCAAGTGATAGGCTGATGGCTCACATCCCCAGAACCAGAGGTCAAATGATGAATCTACTGTAGCATTTAGAGAGGAACAGAGAGCTTTCACAGAACATCCATACATAAGCAGTCCCCAGATTACAAACAAGTTTTGTTCCTAAATCTGTCTTTAAGTTGAATTTGTATATTAGTCAGGACAGTTAGATATTGTTCATATCTAATGTCAGTTAGTCAAATGTTTGTCTTAGTACATAGCATAAAGTGTACTTTTCTATAAAGGTACATAAAGAACACTAAAGAAATACATCCATATATACTACAACATCTTTAGCAATAATACAGTAATTGTACTAATAATGTTTTGATGTGTATTGCAAAGTAGTTCCCATCTGTTGTTATTTAATGTACCTCAAAATTTTAATGCAATTGGCATTATGAGAAGTGGTTTGTAACTATGGATGTACATAAGTCAGACATCCATAACCCGGGGACTACCTGTATATTGGATGTAGGCCACACCCCCAAAGAAACTTCCCTTATATCATAAAATGGAGGGTAATTACATAATACTGAGAGTTATGGCCTAGCTAGGTTGACACATAACACTAACCATCACACTTGCTAGAAATGTTTATGTTTTCTGTTGAAATTGGCCTTGTTATAACTTCTCTTGGTCTTTGTTCTTCTTTCTGTAGTACAGTCACATAATAACTGATCCATCTCTTTCAAATTAGAGCCTTTCAAATGTCTGAAGCCAGCTATAATCCTAGCCATTTCATCACTTCACTCCTCTTATTTCTAAGATAAAATCAGCATTGTGAATGGTTTAGACATTACTTTGAAAAGCAGTTTGGCAGTCTGTATTTTATTTCTGGGCTTCTCATGAATGGCCCCCAGGGCAGAAAGGAAGCTCTTATGTTATATGTGACAAATGAGGAAACTGAGCCTGCCCAGCGAAGAGCGGTTTCTGACATCTCCTCTACACAATGCTGCACTCATTTTCTGAAGAAGACGAAGTACATCGGAGCAGCTATTTATTGCCATTGCTGTCTTGGTGTCTGATTATGCCTCTTAGCAGCACATGTGTGAGGTTATGGCTTGCGCCCACACATCAGTAGAGCCTGTGGAAATTTCAAAGCCCTTTGTCTTCCTGGGAGCCCTTATAAGAGAAAGCGTTGCTTTTCTGTCACTTCTTTCTCCTCTTTTTCCTCCTGTGCTTCCTTCTTACTAGCTGCACTGCAACCTGGAGTTTGGCATGTTAAAATAGGTCCGAATTAAAAAAGATGAAGACGACATTGAAAATGAGTTTTTAAATGTTTTCTGTTAATTCTTAACCTAGAGCTATAGGATTATAGATATCAAGGAAATAAAGTACCCCTTTGGTAATCAGAAATCACTGAAACACAGTAAGTTTAAATCAATATCTATTGCGTTAGGTTTGGTCACAGTCCAGTGCAAGAAAGGCTCAGCTGCCTGGCCAAGCACAACTCTATCTACATTGTGGCAAATACTGGGGACAAGAAGCCATGCAATGCCAGTGACCCTCAGTGCCCTGCTGATGGCCATTACCAGTACAACACTAATGTGGTGTTCGATTCTGATGGTAAACTAGTGGCACGCTACCATAAGGTGAGAATTACTGGGCCTAACTAAACCCGATTTACTTCGTTTGTTTGTTTATGATACGTTTGTTTGTTGAATGTTGAGGAGAGAACTGTTATGGGTAGGTCTCTTGCTTATTACATTCTAGTTGGAAAAGGTGGTTAATTTATTGCAGTCCCATGTAAGGGTTCTGACTTTGAATTAGTCATAAAACAGAACATGGCAGAATATTAGAGTAGATGTGATAATAGCCTCAAAAGATTTCAATGTTCCATGAAAAAGGAGAAATGCTCTGTTTAATTCACATGACTTAATTGAGTTAGTTTATTTTTCCCCCGATTACTTAATATTTTATACTAAGCTAAGCTACTATCTGATTGAATTGGGACTCTTGATTGCAATGACACAAATCCCCAACTGAAACTGGCTTACATAAAAGTGGGATTTCCTTGCTTATGCAAGTGAAACATATATATCATACAAGGTCTAGTAGTTTTAGGTACAGCCTGTCCCAGAGGCTTGAAAGATGACATCCATTCCTGTAGCCCTCTGGACCCTTTGCTATAGCTTTTTCCCAGGCTAACTCTCCTGTTAGAATCCACGTGGCTGCAGCAATGCAAAGCTCACATCTTTGCAGCAACACAATCCATAGGAAGAGCATACTTCTCCCTCACTGGAAGCCATGCAGAAGCCTCATCACTTCTTGATTGCAATTAAGTTCCGTGCCTTCCCTGAGCCAATCACTAAGGAATGAAGGATGAGTTACTGTGTGCGTGAGGAAGGGAAAAGCAAGGGATCCTCAATGAGGGGAAATAGCTGTTGCCAGAATACTCACATGCACACATCAGGTCAAATAAAAACCCAAACAAAACATATGCTGTACTCCTAAGCCCAGGGTAAGTAGCATTTTGGAGCAATGATAAGGCTGAAAACATTATGAATGGCTTACTGATTAACAAGAAGAAACCCTGGTGATGCAGTGGTTAAGCACTTGGCTACTAACTAGTAGGTCATTGGTTTGAACCCACCAGCTATACCACGGGACAAAGATGTGGCATTCCACTTCCCTAAAGATTGTTGTTGTTTGTTGTTGTTATGTGCTGTCAAGTTGGACCTGACTCATAGCGACCCCTCCTTGGGTTTCCGAGACAGTATCACTACGGAAGTAGATTGCCCCAACTTCCTTTCGAGGAGCGGCTGGTGGGTTTGAACTGCCAGCCTTCTGGTCAGCAGTCAAGTGCCTTTAGGCACTATGCTACCAGAGCTCCCTCCCTAAAGATTACATCCCTGGAAATCGTATGGGGCAGCTCTACTCTGTCCCATAGAGTTGCTATGAGTTGGAATGGACTTATGGCCCTGGGTTTCGTTATTATTATTATTATTTTTCTGATTAACAAGATTAGCCATGACATTCTTTAAATTTACTTTAAAATGACATTACTTCATTTATATAAATTTATTGGTATCATTCTAAGGAGTCAGCATGCTCCTTAGAAGTGAAGATGGCAAGATTTTTCTCAAATACTTGCGACATATTACTAGAAGGGTCTAGCCCCTGGAGAAGGACATCATGGCTGGTAGAACAGAGGGTCAGTGAAAAAGAGGAAGAAACTCAACAATATGGACTCACACAGTGGCTGCAGCAATGTGCTCGAATGCTTGGGAGGATGTCACAGGACCAGGCAGTGTTTTGTTCTGTGGACACAGGGTTGCTATGAGTCAGAATCAGCTAGATGGCACCTGATAACCACAAAAAGTATCATAGGGAGATAGGGCAAAGTTATTCATTAACATTTGCTATAACATCTGTTGTACTTAGAAGGCAGTACAATTGATATTTAAAGAATACAGTGGAAAACAATCTGAAATTACTAAGATACAAAATTTCAAATTTCAACTTGTGATTTTAAGACTGAAATATTCACGTTTTAAGTATCATTTACAGATATGATTTTATTAATTGATTTTGGAAAAACAAAGTTTTTCAGTTAACATCACAGTAAGAAAACTCATATAGAAAGTGGAGGATTGGGTTAGATTTATGCAAATTTATGTGTGATAATTTTAGGGATATTGATTGCATCAATTATTCAGTTTTTTTTTTTTTTTTACTAATTTTTCCTTTCTCTCCTTTTTCTCAACAGTACAATCTTTTTGCACCTGAAATTCAATTCGATTTCCCCAAGGATTCAGAATTTGTGACTTTTGAGACTCCTTTTGGGAAGTTTGGCATTTTCACTTGTTTTGATATTTTTTCCCATGACCCAGCTGTGGCTGTGGTGGATGACTTTAAGGTGGACAGCGTAGTGTACCCCACGGCCTGGTACAACACACTGCCCCTCCTCTCGGCTGCCCCCTTCCACTCAGCCTGGGCCAGAGCCATGAGAGTCAATCTCCTCGCTGCAAACACTCACAACACCAGCATGCACATGACAGGTACCTCACGCCTGTCAGGACCCAAGTGGCAGTGACCATTTGAGGATATTTTAATTGATTTTTAAGCCATACTAATAAAAGGATTCTTTTATTAACTCTAATATCACAAAATGAATAATAACACAAATTTCTGTACCAACATTGTATAAGGGATGTTATCTCTGTGAATAAAGAAAAAGGCAAATGTTTCAATTTCACATGAGGGGAAATTGGATTAGAGAGAAGTCAAATTACAGAAAAAAATCAAAGCCAGATCTAAGGAATTTCTCAGCCAATGTTGGTTTTATTAATAATAGAGGAATATTTTTTGCTCCTGTGGAGATGATAGCACTTTAGACGTAATTAAAGTTTTAGTCTATCTTTTATAGTGTTCATGTTCAAGGTCCTGAAGACTAAGGTCTCCCCTCTTAACTGCTTTGTTATTCATTTATAGAGATGAGGAAACAAACACAAATAAATTAAATAGGTCAGGGGGAGCTGTGTGGCAAGCTTTCAGTTTTTTGCTAAATTGAACAAGTAAAGGCTATCTTTAGTTGCAAAAGTTGTGTGACGTCAAGTAAATTCCATTTCATGGTGACCCTGTAGGACAGAGTTTAATTGCTCCATAGGGTTTCCAAGACGGTAATCTTTGCAGAAGCAAACTGCTATATCTTTCTCCCATGGAGGGACTGGTAGATTAGAACATTTTGGTTAGCAGCCGAGTGCTTAACCACTCTGCTACCAGGGTGCCTTTAAGTTGTAAATAAGCCATCCAATTTCATGATAAGTTCAGCATGAATATTTCATGAAAGACGCAAAGAATCAAATGGAAATTTAGACCACTGTAACAGCTATCGTCTTACTATCTTGAAAGTGGTTATGCTTCAAAAACTGTCTATTTAGTTACTCATGAGGATAATTGTACTAGTTCGAGGCCATGAAAAATATTGAAACCAATGGTTGTGTTTCTTTGTATTGACTGCAGGGAGTGGCATCTACGCACCAGAAGCAGTCAAGGTGTACTACTATGACATGGAAACGGAGAGTGGACAGCTGATGTTATCAGAATTGAAGTCCAGGCCTTGCCGTGAACCTGACTACCCAGAAGCTGTTGACTGGAGCGCTTATGCCAGAAATATCAAGCCATCTCCACATGAGCAGTCAGATTTTCCAGGAATGATTTATTTTGATGAGTTCACCTTCACTGAGCTTAAGGAAAACACAGGAAATTACACAGTTTGCCAGAAAGATCTGTGTTGCCACTTAACTTATAAGATGTCTGGTAAGAGAACAGATGAAGTGTATGCCGTAGGTGCTTTCGATGGACTGCACACAGTAGAAGGCCAATATTACCTACAGGTAGACATGTTTAAATATCTCCATCTTAGAACAATTTTGGACTCTCTTAGTGGTACAAATGGTTAAGCCCTGGACTGAAAAAGCAAAAACAAAAACAAAAACCTGTTGCCATTTAGTCAACTCTGAGTCATAATGCCTCAATAGGACAGAAATAGAATTGCCCCAGAGGGTTTCCAGGGCTGTAAACTTTAAGGATGCAGATTGCCTCATCTTTCTCCCGTGGAGCCGGCCTTTTGGTTAACATTCAGGTGCTTAACCACTGTTCCTCCATGGCTCCTTAAGCCCTGGGCTACCTACTATAAAGCTGGCCATTCAAACACATTCAGAGGGGCCTCAGAAGTACAGCTTGGCAATCTATTTCTGAAAGGTCACAGCCTTCAAAATCCTTTGGATCAGTTCTGCTCTGCACACATATGGGCACCGAGAGTAGGAATTGACTAGAGAGCAACTAACTGAGCAATATTATTAATCGTTTTTTGTTTTGTTTTTCGTTCATCATTTCATTTCTTTCAAAATTGTGCTGGATTTAGTTAATTGTAGAATTGGAAATAGCAGTAATTATTTACATGTATTCTAACTTTTAAAAGTCTGCCATATTCCATCCAGTTTCATTAACAAATGTAGACCAACTAATCCAGACCAACTAAATTAACTTCAGGATTCACTAACAGGTCATGAAACAGCAGTTTGAGAAACCCTGCTTAAGAGATAACAAATACTCCTCTGTTCTTTGAAATAGTGTGATTTAACTGAGGAAAGTTCCATCTTTTCATTGCTGCAACATTTCTGACCGCTTCTGTTTCTTTTGCCACTTAGATATGCACATTGCTGAAGTGTCAAACCACTGACTTGAAAACTTGTGGGGAGCCTGTGGGGTCAGCGTTTACCAAGTTTGAAGACTTCTCCCTCAGCGGCACATTTGGGACAAGTTATATTTTCCCACAGATTGTTCTAAGTGGGAGCCAACTTGCCTCTGAGAGACATTATGAGGTAAGAGGTCTTCAGGGTGATAAATTGCTTTGAGCAGATGGGGTAGAGAGAGGCAAATGAAAATCTTTGAAATAGACAAGATTGCAATATTGTGGTTCACATTCTATGCAACACTTTAAAGATGTGGAATCTATGATTTGCAACACAAGTTGTGGTTCCAGATTGTCTTTAGGCTGTGATAGAGAATTTAGGGCTTATTTTTCTACAGAAATATTGAGAGATCCTGTTGCAACTAATGTTCTCTTCATTTGCATGATGTAGAAGACCCGTATGAAATACACTGAATAATGTTTTGATGACTTCTTTTCTGGTTATGTTATTCTGAGAACTTGTTATACTGGTAGTAATCATACTTTGTATAATGTTTCATTAAGGAGTCTTGTGGCGTAGTGGTTAAGTGCTCTTCTGCTAACCCAAAAAGGAGGCAGTTGGAACCTACTAGCTGCTCTGAGGGAGAAAGATGTGGCAGTCCGCTTCTGTAAAGATTACAGCATTAGAAACTCTGTAGGGCAGTTGTAGTCTGTCCTATAGGGTTGTTATGAGGTGGAATCAACTCTAGAGCACAAATTTCTTCATAGTGTTTCATTAGTTTAAAAAACACTTTTTAAAATATGTTATCATATTTGATTTGATCATCTTATGAAATACAATTATTTGCTGCATTTTCACTGTATTCATTTTTGAAGGTTTCCTTAACAAATTACTACTAACAGTGTGGTTTAAAACAGTGTTTAAACCTTTTACCGTTCTGGAGGCCAGAAGTCTGAAATCAAGGTGTTGGCCAGGGCATGTTCTCTCTGAAGACTTCAGGGACCCCCTGTCCCATGCCATTCTCTTAGCTTTTGGTGTTGGTGGCAATCCTTGGCATTCCTTGGCTTGTGGACACAACACTCCAATTCCTTTCTAGGTTACCATGTGGCATTTTCCCTGTGTGTCTCTCTATGTCTTCTTTTCTTATAAGGATACTGGTCATATTCAATTAGAGTCCACCCTAATGATCTCATCTTAACTTTATTGTGTTGCAAAGATCCTATTTTCAAAGGTACTGGGGCTAGGACTTCAACATACATTTTTAGGGACACAATTCAGCCCATAACAGCCCCTTAGCTAATAGATCTGGAACATATAAGTGTGTTTTCTGGCACTAAATCCTGGGTTTTCACTAGTCTATTTAGGAGCTCTGGTGGCAGAGTATTTAAGGCATTTGACTGCTAAACAGAAGGCTGGTGGTTCAAACACACCAGTTGCTCCTAGGAAGGAAGGTTGGGCAATCTACTTCTGTAGTGACTGTCTAGGAAACCCAAGGAGGGGTCACTATGAGTCGGATCTGAGTCGATGGCAGTGAGTTTGGTTCGGTTTGGTTTTATGCTGCTTTTTGAGTGTTGTTGCCAGAGAAGTCCTCTAGGCTGGAACCCAAACACTACATTGGAATTAACCCTTTGCTTTCTTTGATCAGGTTTCAAGAGATGGTCGTTTGAAGAGCCGAAGTGGAGCCCGTTTACCTGTCCTAGTCTTGGCTCTGTATGGAAGAGTGTTTGAGAAGGACCCTCCACGCTTAGGGCAGGGGCCTAAGAAGTTACAATGATCTCTTTTACTGGTGCACTATTAGGATTAACCTGAAAAAGACAAGAAGAAATAAAAGAGAGCATCTATTGGCATCTATTCAGAATAGATGTCATAAACTTGTGGAAACAACAAACAAAATAATGTTTAAAAACCAATGGACATGACTATAGATTTTACACATTTGGCGTTGCACAAACTCTTTTATGAGAGCTGCATTACTCTTCAATGTATGTTTGTTTAAGTGTGTGTATGTATAACAAAACATATTTACATGAATAGGGGCCTAGAAAAATCCTTTTGCTTTAACTGCTCTATTGTATGCAAATGTAGTTTCCATATCATCACAGATATTCCAAAGTATGAACCAGGTGACTTCTGGCAAATTGAATGTGCAAAAGCTATTTGATCCCAGTCAATCAAAGTACAAGGAATTATTAAAGAAAATGGAATCTTGTAATCATAAATAACTTTTTAACTAACTAAAATTTATCTGTTATTTTTTTCTTATAGCCTATTTGGCTTTTGTAGTCAGTTTGTGTGAAAATTGAACACTTACAATATTAATAAAACAGAAATAAATGACTTTCAAGCCTGTTTCATACTGAAATTATTCTGTACTAAAATCTGCTCAATGCTGGTTAGCGTCCATACTCAAAGGTTTGTGGAGGCCAGTCTTAGGCTGGGAGCTGCCTTAGAAAAAGCCACACTGTGACCTTTCCCCAACTACCCTTTGCCCATTGACTCTCACCCCTGAGTGATTTTACTGGTCGGCTGCTGATTAACTCTGGGGAGAGACACACATGAGAGCAGGTGAACTCCCCTGGATGCCTGGGAGCTGTTGAGAATCACTCTGAGTTTGGAGACACCTCTTTTTCCCCACAAAAGGTATGACAATTGCTTTCCTAGACTTTCCACAGGTTTTGATTCCCACCCAATATAATTCAGTCCAGTGCTAGGGATCTGGAGACATTCTGGGCCTCCTCTGCAACCACCTTTCCTGGGTTCTCTCTCTAGGGGCTGTGACAGTCTGATCCAATGACTGTACCTGTGCCCTGTTCTCCTCTGTCTCCCTGCAATGCTGGCAGCTTCCCTTTTCATTGCCTGGGGTAGTTCTCTTGCGGCTTTTTTTCTTTTTTTCTCTCATATACATTTGTCTGAAGGTTGTGTTATAATTTAGGTGGTAGCCTTCTTTCCTCACAGTCTTCACCACAAACACTCTTATGAAGACAGACATCTGTCCCTTCCTCTCTATTATATTGTTGTGTATAGTTGATTCTGGCTCATAGCAACCCTATAGGACAGAGTAGAACTGCCCTATAGGGTTTCCTAGGCTGTAGTTTTTACAGGAATAGAGCACCAGGTCTTTTCTCCTGTGGAGTCACAGGTGGGTTCGAATTGCCGTTCTTTCAGTTAGCATCCGAATGCTTAACCATTGTGCCACCAAGGCTCCTTCCTGGTTGTTATGTTGTTGTTGTTATGTGCCGTTGAGTCACACCAACTCATAGCGACCCCTCCTTGGGTTTCTGAGGCAGTATCACAGATTGCCCCATCTTCCTTCTGAGGAGTGGCTGGTAGGTTTGTACCGCCAGCCTTCTGGTTAGCAGTCAAGTGCCTTATCCACTATGCTACCAAGCTCCCCTGGCTGTTATGGAGGACTTCAATGTTACCATGCCTGAGGCTGTCTCTCAGGTTTTACTCTATGAGGAAAAAATGCAGCTGCCTATATTGAAGTTATTTTTACCCCTTACTTTTAAGTGTCCCACAATTTCGATTTTCTTTGAACTCTTTTGCCTTTTACTGCCCCCACATCCCAACCTCCCACCCCTGATTTTATTTTCCATGACTTTCAAATGGCGGTCTCTGCTGGACTCAGTTGTGCAGCTATGTCTTCCTCATCTAAGTGTTTTCTTTGGAGAACAAAGCCACTCCTATGGCTTTAGCAAGTATTTCTGAGACAGCAGATGAACTCGTTGATAAGAAATTGTTTTGCTTTCTTTCACCATGGCAGCCAGTTTAGGCCACATGATGATATTTATAGGTTACATTTAAAAATACAAGGTAGCTCTCTGTGTCAACTTGGCTAGGCCAGTTATTTAATCAAGCAGTAATCTAGGTCTTGTTGTGAAGGTATTTTTATGGATGTGATTAACATCTACAGTCAATTGACTTTATGTAAAGGAGATTATGCTTAATAGTG